ACAGCACAGCCATTTCAGAGGCATTGCTGATTTCACCTTTTTCTTTTTTGGGGACTGGCCCCTCTTTTCAACTCCTCCCTTTTCATTGCCTCCAAAGACGGCTCAGGGAAGGAAACGCTTCTTCCCTCTGTGTCCCGGTTTCCATGGATGAGGGCCCTCTGAATGGCATTGACAAAAGACCGATTACCAAGAGAAAAACAGAATTGATTAACAGGTACAGCGCACATACACAGGGGAAGCTTGGAGGATGGTTAGAACTTGGGCTCAGATAGCATGAAGAATAATACATCTGGGGAGATAAAAGGAAAAAGGTTTTCAGCCTTCACGGGTGGCAGACTATGGGAATGTAAACAAATGAGGCAAACTAGTGGAAGATAAGGTTGCTTTCCTGAGTTTCTTATGTAGAGTCTTCTAAGTGCTGTGTCTGGGCTGATAAGAGTCTGGTGATTGAGTTTAAGTCTACTTTTAGGGACAGGGCTCAAAATAATCCCTTTACATGTGCTACATTTTGAGACAGTGTATCCTAGTCCTCTACAACAGCATTTTGGGTTCTCTCTAGTTCCTCCCAGTCAGGTTTGGGAGCAAATGCACCGGGCTTGGAGCCAGGAGACGCAAAGGGCCATGTATACCAATCCTGGGCCAGTGGCTAGGTGCTGGGAGAGTGGCTGCCTTTCTCTGGAGCTCAGCTGCCTCATCCAGTTATGCTCAGGGGTTGCACTTAAAGCTAACCTCGAAGATTCATCCATTTCTCTATGTGTCTGATGGGTCAGGGTGTATTTAGGAGCCAGAAATCATCATGCCAGTTATTCAAAAGATAGGTTTAATTAATAAAAAGTATTAACTGGACAAGTGAAATGGCTTTTTTTTTAGAAGTCTACTGACATCTTGAATGCAGGGAGCAGCTGACACCTCTAGGGGTAGGGGAATAAAAAGAAGAGACTGGAATTATTATGACCTAAAAGCTCAGAGAAGAGGCCTCGGGGAGCTACAGCTCAGGTCTCTGGAGAGGGGAGGGGCTCCTGGCAGGCTGGTGCTGGTGTGGGCAAGGACAGAAGGGCAGGGTGTGGCTGATTCTGCTAACCAGATTTAGCTGCTGCATTGCTGCTGTAGGGTGAAGAAGTGTGACTGCTGTGAAAATTATGAAACCGAGAGCACAGGCCTTTTCTTCATTCTCTAGCTGTTATGCCTCTGTCTAGTGCCCCCTAGTGGAGGGCCTAGCGGGGACTGGCTGGCAACGCACACATGGGGTTTGTGGGCTAAGCAGGGGCTGGAAGGGTGGCTGTGGAGCTGAGAGACAGTAGCTTAGTAACTGGTACAATGTTTGTTGCTGACATTCCAAACCAGTGGTCTAGAACCGGGGTCCCCAGCCTGTTAGGAACCGGGCTGCATAGCAGGAATAAGCTTGAATGTAATGTGCTTGAATCATCCCAAAACCATCCCCTCCCCACCCCTGGCTGTGGAAAAATCATCATCGATGAAATCAATTCTGGGTGCCCAAAAGGTTGGGGACCACTGGTCTAGAAGGTTCTCTCAGACTTTCTTGCTGGAAGTGGGTCATATGGCAGCCGAAGATGGTTTTAAGATACCCTCCTCAGTGAGTAAGGCCGTCCTGCTAGACATAACTCACGATGGCTCAGAACTGAGCAAGACTCAGTCTGCAGGGAACCAGATGTTGGACACCCTTGGCTGGTCCAAGCTGGACTGAGCTGATCAACTCACAGTGTAACAGGGAACACTGATCCCCACGTTATTACCATACAGTGTGACACATTTTATGAGCTGGATTTGCAAATCATGATTCATTTTCTCAACCACAAATGCCAGTGACCTGATATAATGGGAAATTGTTCAGTATATCTTCCAAGCTCAGGGCTGAGGAATTGGTGAAACAGGAAGGAGGGGAAATCCTCACTGTGAGCCCTCCAAGTACACAGGGAAACCTGCCCAGGAGAGAGCCCAGGAGCACAGGCCCGGCAATTTCCCCTCAATATCCCCACCTTCAGCTTCACTTAGGTCTTGGCCCAAATACCCCATTTTTGTGAAAACTTCCCGATCCACCTTATTTTCAATTGCCACCTTCCACCCTGGCTCTCCCTATTTCCCTCCCCTATATTATTATTTTTTATAACACCAGTAGTCCACTTATTATATATTTTACTCACTTCTTTGTTTATCTCTTGTTTCCTAACTAGAATGTAAGCTCCACAAAGGCAGGGGTCTCCTTGTGTTTGCACCTCACCATATCCCCAATATGCTGCCTCCCCAATAACAGGCATGTAATAAATATATATGTAGATGTATAGGCATATTTCCTGAAGTAATATTATGTACTGAAAAGAAAAAGAAAATAACATATTTTGTGACTTTGAGCAATATAGAGGGTGAAGAGTTACAATACAGGTGAGTGAAGAAAACCCTAGCTTATAAAAATCTTTGACAATACCTAGTTGTCATTTCTTTTCATTTGGTAGAATAAAATAAAAGAAGGAATCTGGCTGGTGTAGGTCAGTGGATTGAGTGCAGGCCTGTGAACCAAAGTGTCACAGGTTCGATTCCCAGTCAGGGCACATGCTTGGGTTGTGGGCCAGGTCCCCAGTAGGGGGCATGTGAGAGGCAACCACACATTGATGTTTCTCTTCCTCTTTCTCCTTCTCTTCCCCTCTCTCTGAAAATAAATGAATAAAATCCTAAAAAAAAAACACCTCATCTAAAAAAGTAAATAAAAGAAGGAAATATGGCACCTCCATGTTTATTGCAGCATTATTTACAATCACCAAGATATTGAAACAACCCAGATGTCCATCCCTTGATAAATGGAATATTATTCAGCCGTAACAGAATGAAATCTTGCTATTTGTAACAACTTGGTGGGCTTTGGGGGCATTATGTTTGTCAAGTGTAATAATAAGTCAGGCAGAATAAAACAAATACCATGTGATTTCACTTATATGTGGAATCTTAAAACAAAACAAAACAAAACAAAACAAAACAAAACACCAAGCTCATAGATACAAAGCACATGTTTGCCAGAGGCAGTGCTGGGTAGATGGCTGTAGGGAGTAACTAGGTACAAACATCCAGTGATAAGATAAATAAGTCATGAGACAGTAATGCACAGCATGGTGCCCATAGTTAATAACACTATTTTGCATATTTGAAATTTGCTAAGAGGGTAAATCTTCAAAGGTCTCATTATAAGAAAAGGAAATTCTGTAACCGTTATGGTGATGATTGTTAAGTAGACTCCTTTGGGTGACCATTTCACAATATAAACAAATACTGAATCATTATGTTGTACACCTGAAACTATGAATATGCTGCATGTCAATGAACTCAATAAAAAAATAAAAATAAATGGAATGAAGCCAATCTGTCATTGGGAAGAGAAAGCACAGTGTAGTTCAATTCCTCCTTTTGAGGACCTACCTTCAAAGTGCTGAACTAGCTCATTTAAGTTTTTTGCTCCTTATGGATCCTTCTGGGCACACATCTGAATAAATAAAACATTGGCAGGTACTTTCTGTGGAAGACAGTTTGCATTCATTGCTTGATTTGCAGTCAAGGCTGGGCAAGGGGTACTCAGGAAGCTTGTATGCATCATTTTCTCTGAATGAAGGACATGCTACAAAGTTTCCTCCATGGGTTTAGTCAATACCATATATGCTTAGCACGGTCATTGGTAATCGGTAAGCACTCAATATTTAGTAGGAAGGACTTATTCACGTGTTTCTGGAGATTTGCCACCTCTACCAGGATACTGGCTTCCACTGGAATACCATCAACATGCCTACAACAATACATTTATATGAAAGCTTAAATGAACTGATTTTATTCTAAGGCAAGTAGTAGTTATACGCATTTGAGATTCAAGAACAGCTCATTGCTACTCTCTTCCACATTCCTGAAAGAAATGTGAAAACTGGCTATAGCTAGGAAAGGTTCTTTTTGGGTATTTAATAAAATCTGGGCATTTTAATGAAGCAGCTTGCCTTGTTGGCAATTGTTGATTTTCATTTGTAGCATTTTCTTTCTTCCCAGTGTTCTCCACACCTGCTTTGCTATTTCTCCCTGGACATTCTCTCTCTCTTTTTTTATAGATTTTTTTTTTTGCTATTTTTTTATTTAATTATTTTTCAAGTACAATTTTTTGTCTATTTCTCCCATCCCAGCCGCCCCCCCCATCTCCCTCTTTTTATAGTTTTAAAAATTAAAAAAATTTGCCCTGGCTGGTGTGGCTCAATGGATTGAGTGCCAGCCTGTAAACCAAAGGGTCACCGATTCAATTCCCAGTCAGGGCACGTGCCTGGGCCGCAGACCAGGCCCCCAGTAGGTGGGCGGGGGAGAGGCAACCGCACGTTGATGTTTCTCTCCCTCTCTTCCTCACTCCCTTCCCCTCTCTCTAAAAATAAATAAATAAAATCTTTAAACATTTTTTTCAATGATAGTTTACATTCGAAATTGTTTTGTATTAGTTTCAGGTGTACGGCATAGTGGTCGGAAATCCTATGCTTTACACAGTGTTCACACTGATGTTTCCAGTATCCCACCTAGGACCAGACCTGTTACAATACTAATTACTATAGTTCCTAAATTGTACTAGCACTTCTCTCTTGAAATATGATCCCACAGGTAAGGAGATTTGCATCACAAACACTTTTTCTCACTTAAAAATGAAATTACGGCATTTCCCTTTTCTGCATATCATGCATCTGGAAGAGTAGCGTTTAAGAAAGGAATATCGAACCCAGCTGTGGTTACCTTTGTTAGTATTTATACAGATGTATAAACCCACGAGACCGTTTTTCTGAATAGCATTCCCAAGAAGTTGGATTTGTAGAAAACTTCTAATTTGCCATGAACGTCTGTTGCATTCCACCTGTTATGTTGGTGACATGGAATTTCTGGGATGCATAAAAGTGGGCGTTGGCTTTTCTAGAACACTGCACCGTTTCTCATGTCTTGTCTTCTCTCTCTGCCTTCTCCCCTCTCCTTCCCAACAGGGCTGATCGTCTACCTGGGAATGATGGCGGGGGCCTTTATCCTGGGGGGCCTGGCCGATAAGCTGGGGAGGAAGAGAGCTCTCAGCATGTCTCTGGCCCTCAACGCCTCCTTCGCCTCCCTCTCCTCCTTCGTGCAGGGTTATGGAGCCTTCCTCTTCTGCCGGCTCATCTCGGGCATAGGGTATGTAGTCTCAGAGCTTCAGATGGACCCCCCTAGACCAATGGTCCCCCCCATCCTGGAACTCCAGTGCTGAGTGGTACCTCCAGAAAACCCTGGACTGGGTTTTTGTTTGACTTCCAAGATACTACACTGAAGTCAACCTTAGAAAGGGGTTAGGTTGTGAAGTCAGTGCGTAGAAGGTCAACACAACCTGGCCCTGCCTTGGCCAGTCTCTGAAATTCACTCGGTTATTTTGCCCCGGAGCCTAAGGGTTGGGTGTAGGCAACTCGGTTTCTGCTGCGACCATTTTCAGTGTGTGACTTGACTCTTTGTTTCTGGCATTTCCCCCCCTATAGTATTGGCGGAGCTCTGCCCATTGTTTTTGCCTATTTCTCCGAATTCTTGTCTCGGGAGAAGCGAGGAGAGCACCTCAGTTGGCTGGGCATCTTCTGGATGACAGGGGGCATCTATGCGTCCGCCATGGCCTGGAGCATCATCCCACACTACGGTGAGCACAGGGCTCAGAACAGCCCTGGGCCCTTGTTACCGCGGCACCTGCCTCCTGGGGATACTTTCTGTCCTCAGCCTTGTTCCCTTTATTCCCACAGTTCCTCTGTATGATTTTGATCTTTCTAAAAAAAAAAAAACAACAACTTCCACCACTGGAGACGCATTGCTAATTTCAGTACCAGGATTTCAGGAAATAATACAGTCTGTTCCCCCATCTCCCACCCCACCTCCCTCCTCCCTAATTCTCTCCTTTCCTTTCTTCTTTTTATTTGAAAGGATTTCACCTATTTCCTCAGCCCCCCACCCCACAACAAGTTAGGCTTTGGTAACCCCATCTTAGAGATGAGGCATCAGAAGCCAAGCGAAGCTGGTGCTTTGGCCAAGGTCACAGCACTGGCATGACCTTGAATCCTGTTGCACCCCCACCAGCCCTGGCCGCTTTGCAGTATCTTGAAGACCGCAGAAGTGGAGCAGCCCCTACAGACAAGGTCTTGGTTTCAGCCAGGATAATTTTATTATCCTGGATAATTGTAAAAGCAGATTCTCTAGACAGAGACCTGGCAACGTGAACTTTCACTGTCGGTTTTGTGAAAAGTAAAGTAGGGAGAAGATGGCAATTTGAATTTGATGATGACTTCTCGGTATCCCAGGCAAGAAACACCACCAGCATCCTTCAGAATCATTTTCAGAAAACCACCGATTACGGGCATAGGCTTTGCTATCATTTAGAACCTGTGGAGGGATAGGGTAGCTGAAGCTAACCGCCTGTTCTCTACTCATTCACCTTCTTGGTGTCCTTGTTTTAAATGTGGTCCTGCCTGTGTTCTGAGCTAACAGAGGCTCCACCCATAACTTTTAAAGAAGCCTTAGTGCAGACGATGCCTCCTCTATTAGTCAAGCTGAAGCTGGGGGCATTAGCCTGATAACCCTCTAAGCCCCGAAATCTTAGTGGTTTTAAAGCAATAGACATTTCTCCTTCCTGTAAAGTCTGGCAGATGTCTCTGATCTGCAGGTAGCAATGAAAGCATTTAAGTGGGGAGCTCCTTGACCCCATGGCAGGGGGGTGGTGCGTGGCTGCTGACTGACCTCTACTGGTTGAGAGCAGGGCTCCTGATTAGACACTTTACCCCAAAATGAACAAGGTGATTTTTATTTGTATGCCTTTATGAAATCTTGCATTTAAAAATACAAGGCTCTTACAAAGAGTTGAGGGAAGAGAAGTGAGAGCAAAGAAGGACATGTGTGGTCAGTAGAAGGCAGTGTTAGGAGTAGGGAACAGAGAAAGATGGGAAGCAAGGGAGAGATGTGAAAACACACTACTGTGAGTGGTGTCAGTCCTCGGCAGCACCAGAGACCTAGAGTAAAAATCCAAACTGTTCACTGAGGTCAAAGCCACATGAGAGTTAATATAGCGTCCACCCCATTCTGAGCACAGAAGCTGGCATATACTAGACACTTAACATACTTTGTTGAATACGTAAAACAAACAAACAAACAAACAAACAAACAAACAAACAAACAAACAAAAAACACCAAGCCTCTTAGATGACCTGGCTCAACTGAGACAGGCGTTACCTTGGGGGAAATCCATCCCAGAACTGTGGAAGACATGAGACACCGTGAAACAGGAGTGATGATCTATTTTAAGCCTCCTTTGACCAGGACCAGATGTTTTGTCCACAGCGCACCAGACATTTGATGGTATTTCTCAATACGCCTAAGACATTAATCCTCTCACCGCGCACCCCCCCCGCACCCCCCAGCAGGACGCACGCAGGGGTCACTGTGGGAAGGAGGCTGGTGTTTGTGCACAGCTTGCACAACTCACTTAATTGCTTTTTCAGGAACGAAGTGCTGGGAGGTCTTGGCCCGGGGAATTGGGTAACTGAGTCATTGAGAAAGAGAATTGCCAAACTCAGAATGCTTTTCTGGGAACTCAGGAGCAAAAATATGTGTATATTGTGGAAGAGTAGTTCTCATTGTAGTCAGCTCCACCAGCTGTTTGTAAAATCCTGACACAGGAAAGTAGGGCAAGCGGAAAGACCAGTGAGCAGAGCAGTCCGTCTCCAAATGAATGGCCATCCTATGTATCGGGGCGGGGGGCAGTTCGGTACTTAATTTTATTAATTTAAGGCCCTGAGGATGTGCCTCATAAACGTGGTAAGAGCAGATTACTAAAATCACCATAAAAACCATGGGGCATGAAAGGATATTGGATTTTGGATAATTTAAACATATTATCATAAAAAAATCTTTCTGAGGCAGGATACTTCATAAACTCACAAGCTTCTGCCCTTCCCTTCTTATCTCGCTGAGACTGGCTCCTCTGGCTTTGGTCCATTTTACTTCCAATTCTGCCAGAATAGTTTTTGGATGTGAGTAATAAATATTGCTGTGGTTTTATCTCTCCAGTATTACTCTCAGGAGAAAGGAAGGGCTTCTTAATTAAAATAAAGGCAGACAACCCAACCCCAGCGAGATGGGAGGGAGAAGAGGCCGCTCTGTGCGAGAGGTTTGATGGCAAATGTTGGATGACGTGTGTGTTGTGTGTCGAGGTCACTACAGCTCCACCTTTCCCCGCCTGGGATTCCCTCTGACTCATCCTTCAATTGTACCAATGGAGTGAGAAGTATCTGCAGAAACAGTAGCTATTGGTTAGCAGCCCACAGCACGAAGAACAACTCAAAGCACAATGGGGATTAATAGAGAATTCAAGACATCGGCAGTCCACTGCCGTTGGCCTTGTGGGATATTTTTTTAAGTCAGTGGGATAGTGATTTTTACAGTCAAGTAATGATTACCTTCTTAACTTCAGAAATCAATATATCTATTTATAAAGTTTCGTTTTAAAAAAATGCTGCTGGAATCGTCTTCAGAGATATTTTGGGTGGCATGAGAAAATCAATCTCTTTAGTTTATAACCTTGGTGTAAAAAAAATTCTTTTGCTGATCTTTGCTGGTGTTCACCTATTTTGCTCAATATCTGTGGCATTAAATGTCAAGTAGCTATTTCTAAAGAAATCAGAGCTACCTTGCAAGCAGGTGAATTGGCTGCTGAAAATGTTCCCACTTGGCACATCTGCACAGGTATCAGTCATCGCCTGCATGTTACAGCTGTGAAAACCCACTCATACAGTAACAACGTGAGAAAACCAGAATCTGAACTCCGATCTGTGGGACTGCAACAGTCCAGGCTCTTTCCACCGTGAGACCGATCCCTAACAAGGGAAATTTGTGATCCATGAGGATATTGAAGAATGTTTTATGCCCCTGTCTGGTGTGGCACAGTGGATAGAGTGCCAGCCTATGAACCAAAGGATCGCTGGTTCGATTCCCAGTCAGGGCACAAGCCTGGGTCACAGTCCCCGTCCCCAGTGGAGGGCGCATAAGAGGCAACCACACATTGACGTCTCTCTCCTTCTTTTTCTCCCTCCCTTTTCCTCTCTCTAAAAATAAATAACATCTTTACATAAAAAATAATGTTTTGTGAGTCCTTAAAACAATTTCTGAAAATGAATTTTGGAAATACTTTGAATAATGAAAGCAGAATAGGACCTGGTTACTGTTTCACTTCAACAATGGTAGAATTTATTTGAAAATAGAAGCTGAGTTTTTTTAAATAACAAAAATAATATAAAGACTTACAATGGTTTCCGAAGTGTGTTCTTGAACCCTGTGTGCTGGAATCACCTAGAGCTGATGTTGCCCTTTGACCCGAGTAAGAGGAGCCCTCTGTCCAAACCTTGGGTCATATAAGGCCCTGCTCTGGCTTTCCTCCAGCTGTTCCTTCCCGTGAAGTGAGGGGTCTGTGAGGCCAGGACCCCCAACGTCTGATCCTGCAGCTGGGTCTCAGGACCCAGGAATTTCCACTGAAATCAAGGGATCATGGCAAGGATGCCCATTGTCACCATGGACGTGTATATGGTGTGTCCACACATGTGAGCACAAGCCCCTCACTCTGCGGGAGGGGGCCGGGAGGGAAAATAAGGGGGTCCCACAAGGCTGGGCCCTGTGCAGTGCGGGACAGGGGAGTAGAACATGTGTTATTGAATAGGTTGTTAACTTGAATTTTGATGACTACGTAGGAGTTGGGATATTGCCTCTGTTTGCACTCTCACTGAAGGCCCGTAAATGTTGTCAGCCCAGGCCCACTAGGGGTTTGTCAGGATGCAGACTCCCAAGCGCCTATCCTGGATGCAGAGTCAGAAGCTTTGGGGGCATAGCAGGAAGTCTACCTTTGAACCTGCTTTCCAGGGGGTGCTCTTGTGCCCTGCAGCTGGAGAGCCAGTGCTTCAAGGTCACCCTGAGGTGGTGACTGAGATCCTCCGATTTCCTCTCGGCAGGCTGGGGCTTCAGCATGGGCACCCATTACCACTACCACAGCTGGAGAGTGTTTGTCATCGTCTGCGCTCTGCCCTGCACCGTGTCCATGGTGGCCCTGAGGTTCATGCCGGAGAGCCCACGGTTCCTGCTGGAGGTGAGTCAGTGCTCCAGCCCCAAGTGAGAGCCATGGGACCACGGCAGGAGCTAGCTGTGCTTCCTCAGCCCCGAAGACGTTGTAGGTGGACACCCCTACAAGTCCACCTTCCTTCGCCTCAGACACAGATATCTGCACTAACCAGCAAAGGGTTTTTCACGTCTCCTTCCTTGGTTTTACCAGATGGGCAAGCATGACGAAGCTTGGATGATTCTCAAGCAAGTCCATGACACCAACATGAGAGCTAAGGGGACCCCGGAGAAGGTGTTCACGGTGAGTGTGCGGTCGCCTGTGCCAACACGAGGGGTCCTCTCCCCTTTCCTGGGTTGGTTTGCTGAGCAACAATTTTTTATACAAGCACGTCACAGAAAATGTGTCATGAGGTGAATAAAACCCTGACATTCTAATCACTGTTGTAATTAATTCTTTGCATTTTGATGGTTAGCCTTCTTAGTACTGACAGTAATTGAACAAGGGAAGGAAGCTAGCTGTATTCATGAGGAAATAACATAATTATGTGTATTTACAGATACATTGTAATTTAAGAGTTCTCATAAGTATTCTGTATGTTGTCTCATAGCCTTCATAACCATCCATTTCATAAACATTAAGAGTAGGAGCGTCAACACAATTTTTCTAAACATGTTCCTAAGGTTAGAAATTGATTTCTCCTATTTTATTTTCTTCTTCACGTAAATGTTGCTGCAGTGAGCCTTCTCACACACAAGGTTCCTTCCCCTTTCTTTACGTTCTGAGTTTGTTTTCTAAGAGTCAATGCCTAGAAATAAAATGACTGGTTTTAAGAGCTTGAGTGTTTTTATAGCTCTTGAGATAATGTTGCAAATTATATTTCAATAAGGTCGTACCAGCCTACAAGGCCACGAGCAACAGGTTACCCATTCTATACCCATTTCTTACCTTCATTGGCTGTTAGCCTGAATTTTATTTCTTGTTAGTTTATGAAGTTCAAAAGTTACTAAATAGTAGTTTCCATGAAGATGTCCTGTTCATTACCAGGATCTGTTTTCCTCCACACCAAGCTCTGTGGCCAACCCTAAGAAACGCCTGCTGCTGGCATGTCTGTGCACCTGTTGGCATAACTTTCATTGACTCAACCTCAAATCCATGTCCTCCAGGAAGCCTTCCTGGATTAACTCCCCCACCCACATGGGGGTGCATATATATTTTTGAATTGGTGTTTTTGTTTTATTTGAATAAATACCCAAATGGAGTGCTGGATCATATGGTGGTTTTAATGTTAATAGTTTGAGGAACCTCCATACTGTTTTCCACAGTGGCCGCATCAACTTACATTCCCGCCAACAGTGCACAAGGGTCTCCTTATCTCCACATCCTCTCCAACACTTGTTATTTCTTGTTTTTGTATAATAGTCACAGGTGTGCGGTGATATCTCATTGTGATTTTTATTTGCATTTCCCTGATGATTAGTGATGCTGAGCACCATTTTTCTGTGCCTATTGGCTATCTGTATGTCCTTTTTTTTGGAAAAATGTTTATTTAGATCCTCTGCCCATTTTAATCAACTCTTTTTATTTTTGCTTTTGAGTTGTATGAGTTCCTCATGTATTTTGTATATTAACTAGTTATCAGATACATGATTTGCAAATATTTTTCCCACTCAGCAGGTTGCCTTTTCATTTTGTTGATGGTTTCCCTTGCTGTACAGAAGGAAGACAAACTTTCTCTTATCCTGTGGTATTTTTAAAATGTCCTACATAGCAAATCCCATTTCCCCAGCACACACAGTATTTCATACATAGGTACTAGACTTCTGTGATGTTAATACCCATTGAGGGTAGACTTGTGAATTTTAAGGCAGCATCAACCCTACTGTGAGAAAATCAGATATAACTGGGAATTCAGTGAATCATGACCCACTAACTTCCCAAAGGCATGAGATGAAAAGACTGATTCATTTTTGTCTACAGTGGGAGAAATACTCCAAAGAGATGCTATGTACATCTTTGGTCAAGAGTCACCAAACTGCAGGGTCACCAAAGGCTCCTCTCACCCTCAACAAATTAATAAAGTCACTTCCATTTAACTGACAGTTGAAAGGTCTGGTACAAAGTGGGGTTAAGGTTTTCTCTCTCATCCTTGCTTTACAGGTTTCCCACATCAAAACTCCCAAGCAAATGGATGAATTCATTGAGATCCAAAGTTCAACAGGAACTTGGTACCAGCGCTGGCTGGTCAGATTCAAGACCATTTTCAAGCAGGTATGACTGGGGATGTGGGGTGGATGAGCAGGGGGGTGGGTTCTGTGGAAACCTGTACCCTCAGGGGATGAAGAATAGAGGCCTTGAACACCCCCATCAGCCTAAGCCAGTGTGATGGGGAAGAAGCACCCTGCACAGGATGTTTGGGTGTGAGCCCTTGACCCCTCTCACTTGCTGTGAGCCCTTGAGCCGGAGACTCTGTAAACCTTAGTTTCCTCTCTTTGCTCTTCATTTCCAGGGCAGAGATTTTGAATGTAGGGAAAATGTCTAGTCTGAGTAAACATCTCTCTCGAGCATCTTCTCTTTAAACAACACATAGGAAGACAGGAGTGAGTGAAATAAATGGACCCTCGAGGTTTGCTAGTATTTCTGAGAGAGTCTTCATGAAGGGCAAGGCCATTTCTGCAGAGCAGTGGCTCCTGCAGGCCAGTCGGCTGTGGTGCACCAAGGCAGCTGATGGCCAGAGTCTGCCGAGACTGGATGGCCTGGGTGTATGGTTGGGCAGTGTTTGGAATAGCAGTCCGTTCCCACAGACAGCAGGCAGAACTCAGTACTCAATCTTGTCCAGTGGCTTGAAATCCCCACTCACATGCATGGGATATTGTTGTGTTCCTAGGGATGATGCTGTAGGACTTTTAGAGGTCAAGGCCACCCAGTAAGAAGAGAAAAGGCTTTCCTTGGAATAGAATTGCTACTTCTGGGAGATCATGGTTGCCCATTCTCTTCATGACATCCTAGACAACTCATTAAAAAACCTGAGAAATGAGACTCCTTTAACGGCCCTTCTCTGGTGTGGATTATAGGTCTGGGATAACGCTCTGTACTGTGTGCTGGGGCCCTACCGGATGAACACGCTGATTCTGGCGGTGGTCTGGTTCACCATGGCTTTAAGGTAAGTTCTCACTTAAGTTCACTAACTTCTCTATGCTTCATGGGCCCCCTCTATAAATTGAGGATTATGATTGGTTCTGACTCATGGAGTCTGTATCAGATTGGATGCTTTGGGCTGTAAGTAACAGGAAAGCCATTCTAGGCGTGTCTGCCACGAGGAAATTTTTTACCCTTGTAACAAGAATTCCTCGGGCTGCAGGAGGAGTTTCAGCCTCTGGCTGGTTCTCATTGTGAGTGCGAGAGGCCTGTGCCCCTCTCGGCATTCTGTCACAGGGACCACCTGCAGAGCTGCCCTTTTGAAGAGTGAGGAAACTGTTCTCAGGAGACATATGCTACACACTCAGGGCTAAACCAGCAATTTCCACCCAGTGTGTGGCAAGAAGTTTTTAAAAAGTGCAATCCCTGACTCAGCATCAGGGACATGGACCTCTTTTTCCTTAGAGTGTCAAATTAAAAAAAAAATGACAACAGCCAACTCAACAATGGCCATGCAGTGTGAATGAATAAAAATTATACCTATATTTTTGGTCAGATTGGCAAAAAATATATTTTGGGGTGTGCTGCAGAATTTTAGTAATTAGTTTATGTGTGCCACAAAAAGAAAAAAATGGGTGATTACTGGACTAAAGTAATCGCTGGCAAAAGCATGTGATTTCCCAGCGATTCTAGACTCATCAGGATTTGCCTCTGCGCTGACAGTCTCATTAGTCTTCTCGAGGGCTGACAGAAAATGAAGTGTCTGTTCCCAAAGAAGAAGCAAGGAGTGAGTGCTGAGGAGGCAGCCATCAGCGCCACTGTGAATGTTAAGTAGGGAAAATGGGGAAACTCTGCAATAATGAGCCCTGTAATATGGAAAATGAAATGTAATATGATCAGGGATTAGCTGGCTCTTCTCCCAAACAGCAGGCTCTCACCTCAGTCATGTCATTCATCCCCAAATAACGGGGCCCTCCTTTCTGAGCGAGGTTCAGGGCCTACTCACAGCAGCATGAGGCTGTTTAATTGTAGGTAATAGTGCCTGCAGTCATTTCTGGCACATCGTAAGTGCTCAATAAGTTACTGTCATCAACTAGGAACTTTCAGGGAGATTTTAAATTCCCATCGATGATATTGCTTTGTCGCCAGCCACCTGTGACCAAGATACACTCCCTGGACACGAAAAATGAACTCAATTCTAACAACCTCTACACATTCCCCTTTGCCTCTTACATGCAATCATCTTTTATTCCCTATTTGCCATCCCAGTGCTTATTTTTGCAAATTTAAACCAATACGTATACTTATTTCTTCCTCATTTTCTTATTCAAAGGGACACATTGTTGCATCTGCTGTTCGAACTCCATAACATATTCTGGTGATCTCTCCCACAAATAAGTGGAGATTTTTCTCACTCTTTACAGCAGCATAGCACAGGTGCACCGCACTCCACAGAAAAGCACCTCACTTCTTTCAACCAGGGATTTATTGCTAGACTCTTGGGGAGTTTTCAGACTTTTGCTGTTGCAGACAGTGCCACAATGAGTAACTGTGTTTGAGGCTACTTTGTGCCATGTGAGTTTATCAGTGGAACAGATTCCTAGGTATGGATTATGGATTCAAATGAGGCAACTCCACAAGCAATTTTTTAGACATTGACCAGTCATCCTCCATATGTTATTGTATGATTCTGTCCTTTTCCCAGCAACATAAGAGACACCTGTTTACCTATAGCCTCAGCACCAGGATGTTTTGGCAAAATTTGAAGGTGTTGACAATCTGGGAGGTGAGAATGGTAACACAGTGTAGTTTCAGTTTGCATTTTTCTTGATATGAGTGGGATTGAGCATCTTTTTATATATGTCTAATGACCTTTTTTTTTTTTGAGTTGGTTATCTTGAATTTTCCTGGTATAAAATCATATTGTCTACAAATAGAGGTAGTTTTACCTCTTGCTTTTTTAGGTTTCTGTGTTCTTTCTTTTGTCTAACTGAGTTGGCTAAGACCTGCAATAGTGTTCAGTAGTGGTGGTGACAATGGGTGTCCTCATCTCTTTTCTGACATTAGTGGAGATGTCTTTAGTGTGTCCCCATTGGTAAGACTTTGCCTTTTTAGCTGCGATATGTATTTTCTCATATGTTAAGGGAGTGTCCATCAATTCCTAATCAATTGGTACTTTTATCAGTAATGAATGTTGTCTTTTCATCAAATGCCTTTTCTGCACCTATAGAGATGATTATGATTTTTTTCCCTCAGATCTGTTAATATGACTGTTATATGATTAGATTTTCTAACACTAAACCACATTTACCCATTTAGAATGAGTGTTATCGACCTCCAATCAGGAATGGAGACTCTGGTCAGGAAGGAATACAGCTGCTCAAATGCTCTGTCTTCTCTCTCCCAGTTACTATGGACTGACAGTTTGGTTCCCCGACATGATCCGGTATTTTCAAGATGAAGAATACAAGTCCAAAATGAAGGTGTTTTTCGGTGAGCACGTGTACGGTGCCACGATCAACTTCACAATGGAAAATCAGATTCACCAACATGGGAAGCTGGTGAATGATAAGTAAGTGAGAGACCATGGACCTTCCCTAGATTAGAGTCACAGGCCTTGGGGATTGTTCTTGGGAGAGAGCCACCGGAACCATAAGAAGTCAGTAGGTGGCAGAAAAACTTATTTTTATGGCTGCTGGAGACACAGTAATTCCCCTGGTGGCTCTGTCTCTATTGGGCTGGCCTTGTGTCATGCCTGGTCTCCTGGCTGTAGCTGATCTGTCCAAGGACGGAGGCACTGTGGAGGGGCACTCTGACCATCCTCCCAGCGACTCACAGCTTTCATAGAGATAGATACTCGGGGAGCTGTGACCCATTAATGCCACCAGAGCTCATGCTGCCGAGGTCCCTGCACCAACTCACTGCCTGGTTGTCGAGCTTTTTCTTTGATTCTGGACACTTTTTCCGGCCAAGGCTAACCTGACACTATCTCCTGTTTTTCTTCTACCCCATGTTACCTTCCAGGACAGATCAGCCTGGCCTGTCTTCCTCCATAGTGTTGTCTTTTGGGGGGAACGATGAGTGAAGTATTAGAAAAGTTTTGCCTGCATTTAAAACTTTTTTTGTTAAAGATTCTTTACTTATTTAATTTGAGAGAGAAGGGAAGGGAGGGAGAAAGAGAGGAATGCTGACGTGAGAGAAAAATATCGACTGGTTGCCTATCGCACTCCCCTGATGGGGCACCTGTCCCGCAACTCAGGCACATGCCTGACAGGGAAGTGAACCAGCAACCTTTCCCTTTGTGGCACGACCCCCAACCAACTGAGCCACACCAGTCAGGCCTCACATGTATGGTTTTTAACCAGTGGATACCAAAATTACAACTACTTAAAGCCCATAATTTTTCCTCCAGCAAATTGTTGAGTAAAAAGGGTGTTTTTCTCCTTGGAAGAGGAGGAACCTTTGAAATTGAAGGACTGAACGAGCCTGGTTTCTTTTTCTGGGTTATACTGCCATCTGCTGTTCTTCAGCGAGAAAGCATCCCATCTTTGAAAACCCTCAAGCCTCTTTGGAAAGTTAAATTGATGTTCTTCTGCTTGAGTGGGTAGTTTTCCCTTAGTTACCAGTAGTCCTTCCTTGATTTTTATCCACGCTTCTCTGATTTAAAATTTAGATAAAAGTTATTTACTTTATTGACTGTTGTACTTGGGGAAAAATGCCTTTGTGTAAAAACAGCTTCCGACTTGACCCAGAGATTTTGTCAATAAAGGCTATCCGACCGAAACCTAAATGTCAGCCTCTTGTGGGACCCCAGGAAGGAACAAAAGTACACAGATGAGTTTGACCTGCTCCCCAAGCACCGTCTGCCGCCTCCCGGTGCATCTCACGCTATCAGGTGGCTCTGTGTCCTCAGGCTGCTTTTGCATCAGAACTCTGAGTTTGGGGGGAAGTGCCAGAAAGACAAAAGAAACATGAATTCATATTTGAAACCCTGAACAAAAATGTCAGACCAGCCTTTTTCTTTTTTCTTTTGTCGTTAATTAAAAGCAGGATAGCTTTTCATCCCAGAGCATGCATTAACTAAGTAACTTACTAACTTACCCTCCCCCTTTAGTAAGAATTTTCTACTTGGCAGGGATGGGTTCTTCAAGGGTTAGGGTGGGAGAAGGAGGTGTAGTGGATTTCAACCTCCCTGGATGGCAGGCAGAAGCTCCTGCTTCCTGTCTGTGATAGCTTGGGACCCAGGAAGTAACATGATAATCCCAAATTTTCCTCACAGCTCGAAGGGAAGTTGCTGTGTTCTGCTCAGGGTTAGAAGCTTGAATGGCAAGGAGTAATTAATCGTCACACAAGACAAGGGACCAATGGAAAGTAGGGGAAAAGCTCTCGTAAGTTCTCGTTGAAGGCGGGGGGGGGGGAGGGGGGGTGAATAGCTCAGGGTGAAAACTAGATTTGTAAGATTTAAATCCAAAGTGAGGAATGGCATCTATAGTACGGCACAGGGAGAGTGGAGAGGAAAAGAAGGCAAGCACATACCTGGAAAAGAAGTGGTTGATTTCACACATGAGGCTGAAACGTTATGCACTGTAAAGAGCTCCTTTTAGTGGGGCACCACTAAGAACTTTCCTGGTGGCGGTGGGCCTGGTTCAGTACCGTAGAGCCAACGGTGGGAAGTGTGTATGCGTGCCTTCTGGGTTCTAGGTCTGAGGAAGTAGCCGTGACTGGAGGGATTGGGTATTTGATATTCTGGTTTTCACGTCCATGCCTGTTCATGGGCCTCGCTTATTTTATTTACTGGATTATCATGTTCATATGAATTTGCTTGACGTTTTACTCTGTTCAGGCTACTATAACAAAATACCACAGATGAGGGGCTTACACACAACAAAAATTTATTTCTCCCAGTTTTGGAGGGTGGAGGTCCAAGTTCACGGCACTTCTCTGTGGGCCTCTTTTATGAGGGCACTAATCCCATTGACCAGGGCTCCAGCCTCCTGACCGAATCTCCTCCCAAAGGCCCTGCCTCCCAACACCATCACATTGGGGCTTAGGTTTCAACACATAAATTTTGGATAGTATCTAGCAAGGTGTTCTTTAAAATGAGGCATAGAAAGCAGTAGTCAATTATGTGTTTAAAATTTCTCTATTTTTTAAAAATAAACTTTAAATTTCAGAACAGTTTCAGATTCACAGAAGAATTGCGAAGATAGTGCAGAAAGTTTCTATCTACCCACACCTAGGTTTTCCTTATTATTAACATCTTATGTTACTATGGTACATGTATTACAATTAATGAACCAAGAGCAATGCATGACTATTAACTACAGTCCATACAGTATTCCGATGTTTTTCATTTTTACCCAGGTTCATTTTCTGTCCCAGGAGCCCATCCAGGACACTATGTCACACTTAACAGTAGTAGCTCCTTCCTCTCCCCTTGGCTGTGACAGTGTGTGACTTCCTTTCTAAATTTTGCTTTATGGAATCCTTTCTCATGCAGGTTTTTTTTTAAATGCCAAATTTGTCGTCTTTCCCTTTAAGATTTGTGCCTTTTGACTCTTATTTCAGAAATCTTTCACATTTGAAATCATAAAAGCAGTTTCTATGCTTTTAATCTATGTTTTAAGCTTGTCTTTCTACAGTTAGTTCCTTAAATTTTTTTTTTGGAGGTGGCCTCTGTATACAAGACAGGAACTAATTTGGTCCCCCTTCTGATACAAATAGCAAATCATCTCTACAACATTTATGAAATTCCCTGTCTTTTCCCTAACGATATGCAATAACACTTTTATCATATGTCAGATTTCTTTACATGTATTATTGGGCTTCTGTGCTTTGGTTCTGTGGGTTTGTTTGTCTTTTCTTTTTACCAGAACCACACTGACTTATTTGCCATAATTTTCTGTTTAGTTGTATTTCCGGGAGAATTAGATTCTTCCACCTAGTGATTAACATTTTTCTTGGCTAGTTTTGCCCTTGCACTCTTCCACATGAATTTCAGAATCAACTTCTAAAATTCCATTATAAACAGCTGGTTGGGGTTTTGACCAGAATTACACGGAATGCCTGCATTCATTTGGGGACATCTTTATACTGTAGAATTTTCCAATTGTTAAACATTACATTTCTCTCTACTTAGCTTTATCTCTCGCTTTCTTAGGGTTATAATTTTATTCTTTTTGATTCTTCTTGTATTGCCTTGTTCATGTCAAGTTCAGGGATGGATAGAAGCAGTGCTGATGGGAATTCTGGCTTCAGTGGGGTGCTTGTGGTGTTTTACCTTTAGGTATAACATCTAATCTGTGTTTCAGTTGACATCCTTTATACAGTTAAGGGAAGGCTCTTTTATTTTTGTCCTTCAGAATCAGTCATCTCGTATTTTTCCCAACCAAATCACATATGCCCATTTTGAAGTAACTTTATAGCATACTTCTATCTTGGTAATTATCACTAAATTGTAACTGTCCATTTTTTTTGTTTATTTCTTTAATCAGACTAAGTTTCCGAGGGTGATGCCATCAAGGTATAATGTTCATAATAATAGTTCTGCCATAGACTCTGGATTGTCAATGGCTTCAATTTCCTTATAAGAAAAGTTCCACGTGATACTTTTGCTAACGTTTTTTCCAACCTTTGAAGTGTCCCGAATGAAAATTCTTGGACCAATTCAGTATATAATTTAGAGATTGGAAGAGATGATTTATATAGAGACTCAAAAAATAGACCTTGGCCCTCTCTCCTTTTATCTCTTTCTTTATAACTTAGGCTTTTTATATAATTCACTTGGAGATAAGTTTTAAGGTCTGCCTCCATTATGATTTATGGCACTGCTTTCTACCCACTTTTGCCGGAATATTAAAATATCACAGAAAGCCACACCAGCAGCATATTGCTGTATTAAAGAGAAAGATATATTAAGAAAGGCAGAGACCTAAGACAATCTTTAGAAATAGCTTTCCTGAGTAAACACATCCAGTGTACAAGTTACATTTACTTTGAAACCAGAGGCCTCTTCCTGTAACAAAAGGCAGCTAATTAGTTTTTCCGCAGAAATCCGAAGAGTTCAATGACAGCTTTCAGAAGTCTCTCTTTTAATGTCTGTAGTAATTCGACCCTAACAAAAATTATCCAAAATAATCTGGCTTTCTAGATGAATGCCTCTCATATTTTTTTAAAGTATAATCAGCTGGCATCAGACTCTGAGGATTATTGTTCAAGAGAGTGCAGTAGGAAACTGCCTCTTTCATAGTAGCCTCCCGTGTTAGTCTGGTGCAGGTGGTCTGGGCACCTCTGAGAAGAAGCACTTGCCTAGTTCTTTTTCTGGGTGGGAGGTCTTTTTCCAAAAGCTACTGATAAGTGGCTCTGATCAGGGCTCTGAGCATATTACCATATAGCATGAAGGGTAAGGGAGTTGACCATTGTGTATGGTCTTGGACCGGAGTATCTGGCAGCCCTGAAAAGGAACAACCACTCCTTCAGCACCTGGGCTACTTCTGTCACCATGGCTCCCACTGCCTTATTGTTGCCTGTTCAATTTCCATCCCAATGCTACTTGAGGGCAGGGCCCATGTCTTTCCTCTCTGTACTCACAGCACCTTGTACTATGTTCAGTAAGTGTTTGCTGAAGACCCAACATGGAAATAAATAGACGAATGACCAATCATGGGTTAAATAATGGATTGTAATATTTCACATGGGAAAACATATCCAAAGCTTTCTAGATTACAAGTTTGGCTGAGCTTAAGGCCTGTCACCAACGGGAGGTGATGTCAATGTTTCTCAAGTGCATGCTTTTTTTTCTAGATGTTTCTTTCTAATGAATTGACCATTACATTCCCTAAGCTCTGAAATGGCCAACAGACAATAGAAAGACATTGCTTTAGGCTCCTGCTTGAAACCAGCAGCTTCAGCAAACTGCTGGCCTCAATTCAGGGCCAATCAAGTGCATGCTTTTTAAATGCAATATTGTTCTTTCCTCTTCAGTTTATGCTGGAGTCGGAGTGTCACAGTGGCTCCCAAATGTGGCTGCACCTTCTAGTCACCCAGGTGCTTCCTCCCGTTAAATATTTTATGTTTAAGTGAAAAAGTAATACACGCACTAGGTATAAAGGACAAATTAAGTTTATTTTCTTTTTTAAAAGATTTTATTTATTTATCTTTAGAGAGAGGGAAAGGGAGGGAGAAAGAGCAGGAGAGACACATCCATGTGAAAGGGAAACATTGATTGGTTGCCTCTTACACGCCCCCTACTGGAGACCTGGCCCGCACCTCAGACATGAGCCCTGACTGGGAATCAAACCAGAGACCTTTCAGTTCACAGGCCAGCACACAGTCCACTGAGCCATGCCAGCCGGGGCAGGTTTATTTCATTCTTAAGCCCCGTCACACTGCCCCAGGGCGATGGCATCTGCCGGTTCCTCGTGTGACTTTCCAGATGTGGCCCCTGCATCTGGATGCATGTGTGTCATACCCTTTCTTCCCCCATGAAAGGTCACGTGCTGGGAACACTACACTGCACTTGATATTTTTTGGTTAATAATACGTCTTGAAGGTCGTTCCATGTTGAGACATAGAGATCTACCTAATAACTGTAACTGGCCATGTGGTGTTCCACTGTATGGTACCTGTCTATCTACCTCTCATCTATCAAATAGTCACTTCTTGTCATGAGAAATGCTGCAGGAGCATCAGCTGATGTATTCCTTCGAATGTATGAGCAAGCGCATGTAGGATAAATGATTAGAGGTGATTATTCTTAGGTCAGAAGGATTGCGTCCTGAAAATTTTTGCAAAACTTTGCTTTCCAAACAGGCTGCACCGATTATATTCTATTAATGATGTGAACAGAAGGGCCTATTTCCCCACATCTCTGTTGGGGCTATTTTAAAAATGAAGATTCTCTACAATCTATTGCTTTTAAAATTACTAAGACCAGCTGAGAGGCCTGCAGGTTTTTTAAACTCCTCATAAAGTGAGATGCTATCAATGTTTTTATTTCACTGTGTTCACCTTTCTACAATTCCAAAGCAGAAGGTCCACGAGCCTGCACTTGGGGACCACCAGGCTGATGCACAGTCCCCCGCGTGCACCTGTGCTGGAAACCAACTTCCACCCTTCTGAAGCCTTCCTCATTGACAAAGCCAGCAGCTCAGAAATGGGGAACTAGTCCAGGTCAAAAATAGCATTTCAGTACATTTTGGCCTGCAGTTCTCCTTTTCCTGCCTTTCTCTGTCTTTCACTGTGCTCTCAAGCCTCCTTTTTTCTTGGATGGATCACTCAGGCACAAACATCTTTTCCACAGGTTCACAAAGATGTACTTTAAACACGTTCTCTTTGAAGACACATTCTTTGACGAGTGCTATTTTGAAGACGTTACATCCACTGATACCTATTTCAAAAACTGCACCATTGAGTCTACCATCTTTTATAACACAGGTAAGAACATGGACAGAGTGGGGAGATTGTCAGGAGGGGACTAATCTTGTCAAAGAACCAAAATACTCAGACATAAGCTTTAGGAGCAGTAAACTATTCACAGAAAGAAGTGCTGAGTGTTAGGACGGGTTCTCACCACAGGTACGTGCAGGTGAGTTGCACAGTCTTCACCAAGGCATTTAACTTACCCACACCCTGTTTTATCACTTATAAAGGAAGTGAAAGTTTTGGGTTCATGTCCTGATCTCAGTGAGACTGATACTCTGTATGAATGCCCCTTAGAACAAAGCATGACGCAGATAGAATGCCACTCCAGGAGGGCTATGTGTTACCCACAAAGTGCTTTCTTGAAGGCCTTGCCTCATCTGAAACTTGCAAAATGGAAGACTCGTGGTATCACAGCAGTAAATGAAAAGAGAAAGATGGCATGTTTTCAAGCTTTCTGCATGAAGTGAAAGGATCAGAACATTTTTAAATCACATTGTTTATGATATCTGTGATTAAAAAAATCACAAAACCTCACCCATTCCTCACTCCTTGTTATTCTTACTACTCTCGTCATATGTTAATATCAGACCAGGTAGGCTCGGGGTATAAGGAAACTAACTTGAGTATCACCAGCGGTTTCGCCTCCATTGTCCTAAGTGAGAACTGTCCCGATAGCTCTCTCTTACAGCTGTGGAAAACTGGGGCTGAAGTCTCCTGCCCAAGGCCACATCTAACAAGTTGATGGAGCTTGGATTCATTTCTTGGTGGGTTGACTCCAAAGTCTGTGATCTTTCCCCTGGACTGCAGGCACTGGGTCCAGATCAGCGCTTTCTCCCTGGCATCAGCGCCGAGAGATGGTTATGTAACATCTTTTTCTTCCATGATGTCAGCTTCAAAGGCTCAACATCTGTTCTCCACATATCTTTGTCTCTGAATAATCTTACCATGGGACTTAGCCTTCCTAAATTTTTTTTAGCCAGAACTTAACAACAAAATAATGATAGTTCTGTGCATTCCTGTTTATCATGGAAACCTGGCATATCTTTTCTTCTTTCAAGTTTCAGTGATGCTTCTTTGTCTGCAAACAGTTGTAGTCCTGAGATGTCAGAGCTGGGAAGCCATGGCGATAACAGGGGTACTCCTCCAATTTTGTAGGCGGAGGTTCAGGGTGGTTTGAGAAGGTCAGTGTCCCAAACCCGGGTTTCCTGGGAGCCTGTTTAATGTTACTTCTGCCAGAACAGCTGGTTTAGAAGGTGTCTGAAGACCTGGAACTGATTCCAAAGCAAATGGTTTCTATTTTTTAAGACTTTTTTTAAAGAGAAGTTTTGGATTTACAGCAGAATTAGAAGGAAGGTAGAGATGCCCATAAACCTCCACCCCCATAGTTTGCCTCCCTTGTGTCAACATTCCCACCAGAGCAGCACGTTTGTTACAGTCAATGAACCTACACTGACATATCGTTGTCACCCAAAGTCCATGGTTTACATCAGGGTTCATTCTCGGTCTTGTACCCTGTGTCCTTGGTGTTACACATCACACACTTGGTGTTGTACAGTGGTTTGGACAAATGTATAGTGCGTCCATCATTATAGATCTTCAAGAGTATTTTTGCCATTCTAAAAAATCCTCTGTGTTCCCCTGTTTATCTCCCCTGCTCTGGCACCCTGCATCCCCACCCTGAAAGCCACTGGCCCAATTATTTCTATTCTGAAGAATGTTCAGGATTCCATGTGGGCTCTGGAGTGTTTGACTTAATCTGGACCTAATTCTTCTGTCTTCAGCTTCTATAAACTGGGTAGCCTGGGAGGACTGGTATGTGGCTTGAGAGATGGTGCATTCAAACAAGCCTGTCAGCGAATGTTTCTTTCTTCCTTGCTGGTCAGAAGCGGAACAGGTCATTACATCGGTAGAGGTTTCCCGCCTCATTCCTCAGCCAATGCTGCGTTGACTCGGAGACTCTCCTATTGCCAGGGGCCGGTGCAGCCTGCACCTGGAAGGGGCATAACTTCATCCTGACTCTGCCTGACTCCCCACAACTCCCCCTCCACGTGCCATGAACTTGAGGTTTCCTTCTCTCCCCAGACCTCTACGAGCATAAGTTCATCAACTGTCGCTTTATCAACTCTACGTTTCTGGAGCAGAAGGAGGGATGTCACATGGACTTCGAGCAGGATAACGACTTCCTGATTTACCTCGTCAGCTTCCTGGGCAGCCTGTCCGTGTTGCCTGGGAACATCATCTCCGCCCTGCTCATGGATAGAATGGGAAGGCTCAGGATGATCGGTGAGTCAACAGGGATGCCACCACTGTTCTCCAGGGGGCTGAGGCGGTGACTTAAAGTGTTCAGTGGAATTTTTCAGTTTCTTAAAGAAATCTGGCACAGGAAACTGCACAGGTGAGATGGAATCTGCTGGTCTAGTGTCAAGGAGGCATGTCGACCAGATCCCAGGACCCCGTGGAGGCAGTCTGAGGCCTCTGTCCTAGTTCAGGCCAGTGCCCCGTCTCCACTTCCTGACCGAACAAGTCTGCGATGGTCACTTATTTTATTAGCACTTTGGTAGGGATAATGAATATATCCACTCTACATGCTTCGTAAGGCTATTTCCAGAAATATATAAAATGCTCTTTCTTAAATGAGCATTGGCTTTGCCTGGTGATTTTTAAATGTTGCATATTATTTAATAGTGATAACACTTCAGGCTTGGGAGTCAGACAGGACTTGCATAGGAATTCTATTGCCTACAGGCTGTTTGACTTTGAACGTGACCTTTCACTTTCCCCAGGCTCAGTTTTCTTATCTATAAGACAGGGATACTCCTAACTAGCTGGTAGGTGTTTGTGAGGTTTGAATGTGATATGTTCAAAGCATCTTGCAGTACTTAGTGCATCTCAGGTTCTCAAACAAGGTAGCTATATTCATGTGTGTCTTGTTTTACTCTGCCAGGATTTGAAATGGTTTATTACAGAAACTCATGCTGCCCACAGTGAACAGGAAACAAAGTATATACACCCAGGGCCAGAGAAAATGTATATTAGAATGTGAGTCAGGGCCAGGGGTAGGGAAGCAGACGACACACTAATAAGTGTGCCGTAAGATCTGACCTAGGAATGTAGTTGCTCAATAAAATTAATCCCAAGATTCCCAGCAACAAAGCTCAAAGGGAAACAGAATAAATCACATAGTCATTTCGTCAGGGAAGAGAAAATCGGTCAGGTCTCCACGGGAAGGCAGTTTTTTTCCCGGTGTTGGGTTCCTGTTGAAAATTATTATTATAAATAGCATCATGAATATTCAGAATGGCGAGCACAAGAAATGCTTGTGATTTTAGCTTTTCACCTTATGGTGGGGATGGCGTCATCTCTCAGGCATGGCGGATTGAGCAGGGTCCTCCGTTAGAGGCAGTGTCCTGGTCAGACCTGAAGCCCATGGGGTGGGGGGCTGGGAAGGCAGTGGCTTGTTGACCCCTGTGATGCCGGTGCCCAAACCCTTGCCTGCCACACCATTGACTCTTAACAGTGCTGCTGAATTTGACCAGAACCCACAAAAATGGCCTCTTTCCTAGATTAGTCTGAAGCACCCAGCTTTCTAGCAGAAGGTGCTACAGGATGGCATCGTGTGTGAGGCCGTGGTGGGGAGTCAGGTGGCGATCTCGGCCGACATTCAGCTTATGAGTCTGCACAACTTCCTTTCCTTGTCTGAGCTGCTGTTTCATGGTGTCACAGATAATGCCTCTGCTTGCTCCCATGAGATAAGGTGTGCGAGAGCAGACCTGTGACACTTTGCCATTCTGTCACTGGCCTTTCTGAGTTCCAGGGTCTAACAGTGAAGTCTGTGGTCAGGTGCTGGCGTAGCTGAGGAAGTTCTTTGGAGAGAGATGTGTACAAGGGGTGGGGCGGGCACACATGTGAACAGGAATGGCCCACTTCCCAGGTGTGGGCACAGAGGGAAGTCTGGGCGCAGGAAGCAGGGAGGGCGGGGCAGAGAATGGACATCCTTTCCTCACCTCTGAAGCCCTTCCTGTCACCATGCATATATCCTTGATTTCTATAATGCCAAACAAAGCCACATTCCCCAAACTGCACATCCAGAACTAATATACAATCATTCCTTAGCTCTCTTTTACTAATGCATGTATTTTGTTTCTGATCCAGATTGTTAAGAACTAAATGGCAAGCCAGTTAAGAGCCCTCTCTGTGTCCCTCTGCCTTTAGTGAGATTCTAAGTGGCACACGGTGGACCAACTGGCGTCCTTGGTGCACAGTGAACAGTGGATGCTCAGTAGCTGTCCCGGTGGGGTGTGGGCAGTCTGTTCTGAAATAGCCTCATCCTCGGTCCTCAGACGAATGCCACTGTTGAATCTGCCGGAGCGTCCTCTGTCCTGCCCACTCTGCCGCACTCTTTCCTGGGCAGCAGCAGTGTCTTGTTAACAACGGAAGAGAAGTTCTGATGAGGCTGTTACTCCTCATTTATTCATTCAGTAAACATTTATTTATGTGGCACTTACCCTCTGCCGGGCCGTGCGGTCAGCAATAGAAACGCAGTAGTCATCGAGACAGACAGCATCCCTGCACTCAGGAACCGAGTGATCTCCTGGGAGAGACAGGCATGAACTAGAAATTCCCTTTAACCAACACCTGTGAAGTGCTTGTTATAGGCCAGCCTGTGTTCCAAGCATTTTGTAAATATTAACACATCTCACCTTTGCAATAGCCCTGTGAGGTTGGTACTATTTTTTATCCGCATTTTACAAATGGGGAAAGTGACTCAGCACAGAGAGGTTAAATGACTGCCCCGAGGTCACACAGGTAAGGCTGGGATTTGAACTCAGACTTCTCCATCACAAGAGGAATAAAGGTTATGAGAGCAGAAGTACAGTGGGCCACAGAGACCTGTAAGAGGAAGACTTTACGTAGTTGAAGGGTCAGTTCCCTGACTAGCATTTGATTTCTTTGGTGACAATATTTGTCCTCAACAAACATTTGTCAGCATTTCTTGTAAGCCAGGCCCCCCAGCTGTTTTTGGGGATGCTGCATTCACGCACCCCCCAAAGCAGCTGGCCATTTGAGGGACGCATGAATGCAGGCGATACATGGGTTAGCCAATGCCTATCTCCTCTCATTCTGGTTTTCTCCCAGCTGCGTGGAAAGGCTGCCAGACTACCTGGTCACAGCCCTGCCCCTTCTAAGAAACAGCACAATTGAGATGGACAGTTACCATCTCCCAGCTGGCCAGCAGGGCTTAGCACTAGTTTTGGGCACTGGAGGTGTGAGGGCGAGTTTCCCAGCAGAGGTGCCCCCAGGAGGCACTGTTAGCGGAGCCAGGCCGGCCCTCTGGCTTCTTGGGGACCGAACGTCCTCCCTCCTGCAGGCTCCTGATGCCTGGGGGAGACTCTTGCCCGAAATCCCAGCTGGTTGTTTGGGACCTGCTTTTTTTTTTTTACCTCCTTGGGGCACAGAGTGGGACTGAGAATGGCAGATGTTTGGGATGGGATGGGCGTAAATGGAGAATAAACAGGTTTGCCTTCTGTGGCCCATTTACAGTTATGTTGTCACTAGATTGTGAGTTCCACAAGAAGACTTTGTTGTTGTTGTTTTAGTATAATTACATGTCTCAAGCATATAGAAGAATGTCTGGCATATAATAGACTGTTAACTAGCCCGCAGCCCTGCCTTGTCCCTAGTTATTCTGGGCTGGGAACGCAGAGTGACAATTTTGAAGTTCTTCCTGTAGGGTAACTCTGGTGATGTGACCCGTGCAGAGGGCTCTAATTCCATGGCCGGGGTACCTCGTGAGGGTGCAAGCTGTGCTCTCTCTGGAGAGATGGACCTTTGTGCTTATGGCAACCTGTTACTTCAGGTGTCCCTGTGAGGATGGAAGATGGGGCAAGACCTGTGGCTAACAGCCTTGCCTGCAGCACGGCTTCATGTTCCTTTCCGACCTTGACCTCCCTCCACAGGTGGCTCCATGCTGATCTCGGCAGTCTGCTGCTTCTTCCTGTTTTTTGGCAACAGCGAGTCCGCGATGATCGGCTGGCAGTGCCTCTTCTGCGGGACCAGCATCGCTGCCTGGAATGCTCTGGACGTGATCACGGTGGAGCTGTATCCTACCAACCAGAGGTCAGTTCTTCCCTGGGCTCCTCGCTGGGACTCGTTTGGACTTGAGCTAGAAATCTACCTGCTCTAAGATCTGCACCATGGTGACCTTGACCTTCCTGGAGATCCGTGGACTAAGAGTCTCTTAGGATTTTGAGTTTCTTTTGTGTGGGAGCCGGCACAGACCTGCCAGCGGGCAGTCTAAGGTTTAATAGGATGTGGTGAATGGCAAGATGGGCAGGATGAGTGTAAAGCATGTCCAGCAGAGAAAATGAAAGGGCAGTACCGTATGTACCACGTAATCAAAAAGAGGTGAGAACAAGCCTTCCCATGGGGGATGAAGTGAGAAGGTGAAGAGCTAGGGAAACACAGGGTTGGGGAGAGGTGGACGGAGACAAAGTGGATGTGGCTCGGTGGTCTGGGGCATGTGCAGAGTGTGACTGCCCAGGGTTTAATTGTATTTTGCAGAAGCCATGTGAGAAGAGACCTTGTTTAAAGGTATCAGGACAGAGCCTTTACTTAGCAGTCATTTCTCTTCACAGACGAAGAAGTAGGAATTTTAACAACAGCACATAAAGGGGACCTGTGGTCAACAAGGACTGTGAAGTGGTATGGAAGGCAGGCAAATGAAAGTCTGCAAAAAAAAAAAAAAGCCCTAAATTGGTAGCAGAGTTACTGGGGTATAGGTTGCTATGGAAAAGCACAGCCTACCACCCCCTGAACCAAAGAACTCTTAAGTTTTACAAAAATTAAAATAAGAGGAAGAGAAGTGATCATTATTAGCATGGGGTGGGATTTTACATGTAAGAATACCAAGAGAATTAACTAAAGAAAATACTAGAAATAATAAAGTAACTTAGTAAGATGGTCAGTAATAGAACAAGCTGAATAATATATAGACTTTAAAGTATATTTTAAAAATAAAATTGAAGTCTATTTAATAATAGCAGAAATCATCAAATATCTAGGAATCAAACTGATGAGCAAGGTAAAACATTTATTGAAGAAAACTATAAACCTTTACTGAGAGATATAAAAGAAGACTTGAATATATGTCAGGATATACCTTATAGAATTCCAAGATTTAATCTTAGGAATTAAGATTAGCTTCTTTAGATTTTCTCTAACTTAAAAATCCCCATTCAAAATTTTGTGAATCCTCTTCTCAACCCCAAAGAACTTGAAAAATTTTATCTGGCGCTTATTTGGAAAAGAGAAAATTGTAAAAACATCCAAAGATATTCTGAAAACAAAAGACTAGAAAGGCAGCTAGTGATTGTAAAGGTCTAGTGTGGTACAGTTACCTAAAAGAAAATGTAAAAAAGAACTTAACGTATAAATACTTAGCCACATTCTTAATAAACCTGTGGTCTGAAAAAGAAACATTTTATTTCTGTTGGGGAGGGAGAGTGCAGGAATATTGTGTCTGTGTACAGATGGAGTCAATAATAGTTACCCCTGGGAAGTAGGACTGAGGGACAATAATTAGGGTTAGGTTCTGCCATGGGTGACAGAAGCCCCCCCAAAACGGTAGCCTTAGGGAGGTGGATATTTTATTCTCCTCTCCTGTAAACGTCCAGAGCAGTCACTGAAGGCTCTTTCTGTCTTATTCTCCTTTTCATGATCTCGGCCATGGTCCAAGGTGACGCCAGGTACCTACCAGGACTTGGGATGTAATGAAAAAGGAGGGAAGAGAAGAGGGCAAAAAGCCCACTCATGACATCTCTAAGAAAGTTTCTTGGGAGTCCCCACTTACATGCCATTGGCCAAAACTTAATCACATGACCATATGCAGCAGCAAAAGAGTCTGGGAAATGTAATCCTACATTTGGAAAAATGCTATTTAGGGACAGTAAGTATCTAATTTACAAGAGGGTCAAGATTAGGGAGAACATTTACACTTTCTGCATCATCCTTCATCCTTTCAGCAGTTTACAATACTCCAGCTCCAATAATACCTGTGAAAATGTAAAAAAAAAAAATGTATTTGGAAAGAAAAAGAAACAAGATTGAAGGGAATACTTCAGAATGTTAATAGTAGTGATTGCTTTTCAGTGGTGAGGTTATATATCTTTGCATCTTCATGTTAGTCTTTATTTTCTAATTTGACTGAAATGAGAATGTATTACTTTCAGATTTAAGGGAAAAAAATCCCTCCCACACCTTCAGAATACCTTCCTCCACAACAATGAAAAGAAAGAACCCAGTCCTACTCATCTAATAAAGCCTCGTTGGTGTCTTTCAGAACATACTTTCTTCTTTTACAGGGCAACCGCCTTTGGCATCCTCAATGGGTTGTGCAAATTTGGAGCCATTCTGGGAAACACCATCTTTGCTTCTTTCTTTGGGATAACCAAAGTGGTCCCCATCCTTCTGGCTGCCACCTCTCTCGTCGGGGGTGGCCTGATTGCTCTTCGTCTGCCAGAGACTCGAGAGCAGGTCCTGATGTGAGCCACCTGTGGGGAGAGGAAGTCTTGGAAGAGCCTTTTCCAGGAACCTTTCATGCATCCACACTTCTATCACCGTCCAGAGGACTTTGGATAGCACCGGAGGAGAGACTGATTTTGTGACCCGTAGTTTTAGGACCCATGTCAGCTTCAAGATGTTTGTAACTCAGGTGACTGATTTGGGGGGGTCACGAGCCACCCTGATAATCAGAGAGCTCCGTGCTTGGTTTCAGGTCTCCCCAGCCCAAGGCAGGGGAGGCGAACTAACCCCCTCCAGTGGGTGCACATGCTGAGCAAGGAGCGTGCATTGCTCTGGGCGAGATGCAAGGACTTACTTGCATTTCAAAGTGAATTCGAGCTGGAGGACACTCAAGCTCTTTCAAAAAGGTCCTCGGAGCCCAATGGCCTACCAAATTGACTTGATGAGAAATTAGAGTCATCCTATGAATGTTGGGCTTGAAGTATAAAACACATATATTTTTGCATTAAAAAAAATCACCTATCACATTTTCCATTCGAAAATCAGCCCAATAGTGGCGAAGATACTCTGATATAGAAAACCAAATATCTGTGCGTTATCTATAGCAACCTCCTACCCTCCCACCAAGTGTCCTGAGGTTTTCAGGATGATTAGATGATAAAATTTAAGAATGATAATTATTCCTATTTTGATCTATTCAATGAAACCTAATAGGGTAGTTATTCTGTAAACTAACTTTGTACATAACTGTATTTGGGTTTAATTTGCAGAAATAGGGTCTGCAAATCTTTGCCAGCATTATAGCCATATTTCGGGAGGACTTGGTGTTTGAGGTCCCGGGAAACTGGGTCTGATTGAATGATATGCAAGCACAATTTCCTATAGCCATTTAACTTGCTGTGGGGAGGAGGCACTCAGCAAGCCCCTATTGTGCAGTCCATTTAATCCAGGCACTTCTCTTCGTGTAGGTGGAGAGCTTTCCCCTCTCACACAGATCACTTGAGAAACCCCAGCTCCACTGTCTGCAGTACAGGCATTTGACTTTGCTGCTCGCCCCCAAACAACCCGAGAAGTGTCCAGTAGCCTCTGGCACTGTCTTTGTAGGTGAGAATCAAACAGGGTGGACAACATGTACGATGGAGGGAGGGGTGGGGAAGCGTAGCCGCAGTTCTTCAAAGTGGACATTTTTCCTGTTCCTTTTGGCAGCAAAACATGATCCAGATTCGTTATAATGGTCAGGTCCCATGAGAAATCAATGCTATGTGTCTCGGCTTGGGATTTTGGAATCCGATGTCATTGACAAGGGAGTAGGGAGTCTCCAGGATGCCACATATGTTTTCCTTGAGTGCTCTAAGAAGACTCTTTCCTGAGGTCCAGTTTGGAACATGAGTTGGGGGTGGGCGGAGGAACCTCGGACAAACTCCTTTGGCAAGGGTCAGCCACAGGCCGAAGTCTTCACTACGTAGAAAAGGATCAATGTTTTATCCGTCAGAACTGTTCTGCATGGAAGGGACAGAGAGCAGTGAACGTGTGACACTGGCAGTGAACTTGCCTCGACCAGGTGACTGTCAGCCCGCGAGAACACAGGCTTTGAGCTGGTAAGCGGCACTATCAATGTGGAAAGGTGCCCCACTGCTCATACCAGAAGTCTCCGAAATCAAAAACAGAATAATGATGGCTCTGCTGAGTGTTTTCTCTGTTTTAGAGAAACGCTTAGGTCCCATTATAGCCTCAGGCCATCTTTCTGTTGTTCCCTTGAGTAACAGGCCGAGGGGAGAAAAGAGTAAATTCTGCGATACCTTTCTACCCTCAAGTTGAGATCAATTTTAATGGTTAACATGTTTACTCTGCTTCTCTGGTCTCTCACCTCTTTATTCACCCCTTTTTTCCCCTGTACATCGAAGACACATCTACTCAGATTTGACATCTTGATACTCCCCAATATATAAATAGACCATCGTGTATTAATGTTTTTCTCAGTGCTTTATAGAAACGACCTAACAGAAACGCTATGTCAATGATGAGAGACCCACTGTAATATGGCTGTAATATACCTGCCACAGTCTTAAGATGTGAAATAGAGTGGTTGGTTCACACAAGAGAGCTGTGTGAACCTGGGATGACTACGCCCCTTACAGTATCGGTTTGAAGAACAGCTATTGCATAAGAAATTGGAAAGGCAGTTAGAGTCTGCATATCTAGTGAAGGTGGATCTTGTAAATCTAAAACATAATTATTTTTTTTAGTGTTGGAGTGGCTACAATAATTTGGGGGCGGGGTAATGTCCTTTCGATTTCCAAGTGCTAAGTTGCGTGTTATTTTCCTGGCTCGTCGCGCCACCCACCCACACAACCAAGGGCAATTCTTCCCTCACCTGCGGTCTGTAAGGCTCTCCCCACAGAAGACTGTCTGGCACAGGAACGTGCCCACTTCTCAAATGCTGCCACTCCTGTTGAGATAAATGCTTCTTTCAATAGAGCCTCAGTGGCAGGACATTGAGGGGTATAATGGACAGCATTCCTGGCCATCCACTTCTTTTTCATTTTGCATCCTAACCAGAGAAACTCCTAATGGCATCTGTGGAAAAGTAAAGGAATGAGGTTCTCCCTCATTGAGTGAATCTGTTCACAGTTCACGATGTATCTTATGACGTCCAGTTTGGGAGTAGTTACTTTTAACAGTCTTAACTGTATTGTTTCCTTTTCTGATGCCGATTTTGGATCTTTCATTTTATTGACACTAATTGGTGAAAGGGGTGTGTCAATTTGTGAAGTCTTTCACACATGAGCCCCAAGGTCATGTTACAAGTCACCCTGTTCCTAGGGTCTCCTGGTACCTTGTGTTAGTTCATTAAAAAATAATAAAAGTAATTGTAAACAAACCTTGAAGAACTGAGGCTAGAGATTATTTTCAGATGCTAAGGTCTCTTCTGGTTTCCTACATTGATCTAATCAGCTAGGAGGAACATCAAGAATCATTTCCTTTAATTTTATTTTGTGTAGGGGGACCCGGAAAAGTTGAATGATGTGTCTAAGGTGAGGCATAGCACTAGGAGTGGGTTACAAGGCTTGTGCCCTCTCTGTAATTCTGAGCTAATTTGTCAGTCACTGATACCCTACTGCAGGGCCGTCCACAGAGTCTTTGGGGAATGGGACAATGTGACCAACCCTCACCTTCCATTTCCTGAGGCCAGTCATTGAAACCTCACTTGATTGGTTGACCTAAAATGAATGGAAGGGCCAGAAAAATCAGTATCCATTCATTCGACAGGTCCACTTAGACCTCATTCAACACGTGTTTTCAGAATGACCACCATGCGTCGTGTTAGATTAGGTCCCTGCCTCTAAGTGGTTCTCTTTCCAAGTGGACTGAAGCTTCGTGCTTCTGTGGGTAGCAGCGTTGTGTTTACTCATAGCCCTAAGAATAATTTGGGAATAAATCACGCAGAGCCTTTGCCTCCAAGACACACTGAACGGCCATTGTATTTCATTTGCAGAGGCATGGTGAGGAAATTTAGATGCATGACTTTTGCACCAGCAGTGAGGTTTCCAGAAAGGTGAATGATGAAATGAAACCAAGGCCAGAGCTTTTCACAGAGGTTACATGGAGAAATACAAGTGGTTATAGTCAGTGCTAACTATAGAATAGGCAAGGGACCTACTTGGCAGGCCCATAGCACATTCCCTACCCTCAGAATGTTCAAGGTGTGAACTGGGAAATGAGAATCTCACCTGAAAACAAGCTTAACTTTCCATTTAACTCTGGTCCTGATGGCTTAAAATATCATATTTTAGAGACCAGAAATATCTATTCCTTTGGAAAGCAAAGGTCTTTTAGGAGGTATCTTCTGCCAAAGTTCATGTGGTGGGCTTATTCACAATGACCATGGCTCAGAAGAGCAAGCCACTCAAAACCAACTGTCACGCCCCCCACTTCCCACGTACATAGATCATCTTGGGAATTCAGATTTCTCTAAGTCAGCATGTATGATTTCAGTTGGGCAGGAACAAAGGCCAGTGAAAATGGCATTATGGGAAAATTAGACTTCGGACTGTATCGCAAAGGATTGCTTAAAAATGCTCAGAAAAACAACTGGTAAGCAGTTGATGGACAATTATAAATGACTCTTACTCATGAAAGTGCTTCTCCCAAATAACTGCAAAACAAATCCTTTCAATCTCAAATATATTCAAAAGTGATGAAACTCTACCTCTTCAAAATGTGTGTTATGATTTAGCTTTTTTTTTCCAGTTTGGGGTTCAGTCTGGGTGAGTCAAGAAATCCCCAACTTTAATGAATGTTTGGAGTAGATTGCAAATAGCTCATTTGCAGGTATTTATCCTAATGATTTTTAATAAGGGTAATTTTCAGAAACCTGCACTCTGTGTAGTTTACAGTGGAATGACCGAACTGTAAGCTGCAGATCTACAATCAGAACACATGGCTGAGACATGTGACGGAACTAAATTGCGACAAGGGAGGCAGGAAAAGAGTATTTTGTGGGTCATCCTGAACAGACATGGGCATCCAGTAAGTTTAATAAAAATCACAGTTTGGGGAAGTAAGACGGGGAAAGTATGTCGCATTGTGATATATAATAATAAAAAATATATACTCCACAGCATATAGATCGATATGAAAACTATTTTATTGTTTAAAATACATGTCATGGATAAGTCAGTTCTGACCTGAGCTCTTTTTCACCTAGGGCATAAGTCTAAAAAGTATTTTAAAATTTGAAAGTGTAAAATATTTGTAAGTATTTAAACACAGATTTGTCAATTCTGCTGCATTTCCAATGGGTCGAATATTAAAACAACTGACCTGTGCACTTCAGGTTTCAGGAATAGAGGAGGATTGAAGGTCACTTTTCTGCTTGAGCTTAGGTCCCCCATTTTTGGTCCATCTGAATCCTGGAGGTTCCCAAGCCAAACAGACTAAGAGAGTGTCTGTATCACTTGTTACTAGTCTTCTGTTCTGGATGTGATGGGGGAAGCAGATAAAGCAGGCTGAGGCATTAGGGAGAGCTCTTCTTAAAGTTTGCTGGTCCATTTTTTTCAGTACTGATTTATACTTACAAATATTTAGAATTTTTTCCTATTCCAAAGCCGGAGGCTAAACTTGGAAAGTGCAGACTAAGCTTTTGGGTCCCAGTGAGCAGTCACTTGGGATTAGAGGTTTTATTCCTTCTGGTGGGTGAGGAGCCTAGAGATGTGCCTATTTTTGGCGGGAGGTGGAAAGAATCCAGATGTGGGTGACTACTCATAGTCTTCCCTAAATGTTTGACTAGTGGTTGAATTTTTTCTTAGCATCACCACTACAAAAATGGCCATCTCAGTCCTTTGACTACAGGGGACACTTGCAGCTTTTCAGATGTGCCAGGCTGAGTAGCAGTGATGATGTAGCATCATTCTGAAACAAAGGTAATGAAGACCACGCCACCAGCTTCCCATTGTGGTCCTGGGAAGTGCTCTATGATTTGCAAAGAATACTTCGTAGGGATGGCAGGCATTTGTAATGCTATGGCTGTTGGTGAAGTGGCTGACACACAGCCAGGGGAGGAAAGAGAGGCAGAGAAGGGAGTGTGTAGGTGATTCACAAACGGACCCATTCCTGGGTTTGAAGTGCCTTGACAACTGCTTGGATTGATCTTGACCATGTGCCCATCTGGAGCTGTTCCGATGAGTCTGTGAATAATACCATGCCCAGTGAATATAGCTACTGCATGATTAAGCTGATGCTGTGAGTGTGAAGTGACCAAAGTAATGTTTGTTTTCTTGTCATATTTTTCATGCTCTAGTTTCCCGGTCCCTTTAAGTGTTTTTCCATTTGACTGCCCCTGGAGAGTGGGATTGGCCACGCCTCTTTGTACTTGAGTGTATGAAAGTAGCAGAAACATTTGATCTGGTGATCGGTAAATAAAAATTTTAACCTTTAATACTTTGTGACCCAAATACTAGCAAACACTTGTTGGGAACTTTCACTGTGTGACAAGGGCCGAGATAAAGACTTTTAAAGACTGTCTTCTTTAATTCTTAGAAAAGCTCAATGATATGTTACTTTCTTCCCTCTAGCGATGGGGAACCTAAAATGTAGAAAGGTAAAGTAACTTGCCAGAGACCATGAAAGCTGTTAAGAGGTGCAGCTGGGCCTTCATCACCAGGCGTACAGTGCAGTGTGCTCACCCCACCAACCTTCCTCCTAGAGAAGGCTGGGTATAGACTAGTCATTGGCTGCTAATGTTTCCAGGCCACAAGGACAATATTAACTAAATTAAATGCCATCTAGAGTGTGGGTGGTTCCACAGGACCGTGATCTTACAAACCTTTCTTTTTTCCTGTGCATTGTGACTCACCCAGCATCTGGGACGTAAGTCTTGATAAATGATGAATAGAAAGATGAATAAACACTGTAGTTGAATGGCGAGGGGCCATTCTTTAGAATGAGTCAAAATGTCACGTCCTAAAGATTTAATCACTGGGTTGATCCAAATGCTGACCTCACGCTGCAGCCACGGCCCTGGGTCAGGGTTTCGGTGACCTATGCTTTGTTGAGCATTAAGGCTCTGGTAATTGGGTAGTGGAGGGCCCAGGGCTCAGAGGAGGGTCTTGGTTCTTGACTGGTGGTGGAGGTACTCAGGGGACTTCCAGCAGTGGTTTTTCGCCAGTTGGTATGGAAGCATTTCAGTGTCATAACAGGGATGGGCGTGCCAGTGTTAATTCGCTGAACGGAAACCTCAGCAGAACAAGTTCTCAACCCCAATGCAGCATCCTCCTCTGGTAGTGGTTTCCAAGGACGTACCAGGGCCACTGAGGCATCGATAATCGAAAAACTTGGTGAGGTTGAGTTTACAATCTACCAGGTATAGGGTTTGCTTTACATTTATAACACTAGAGGGCAGCAGCTACCTTAGAAAAACAGGTCTGCACTCCAGGGGGGTTAGTCTCTGCCCCAGTTTCTGCCAAGTGATACGAGACAGCTTTTGCAAAATACTGCATATCTTCCCTCTATTCTTTAGGAGGCATCTGAATGTGGAGAAGATTCCAGTAGACATTTGCTGGAGGGCCCAAGCTGTTCTTTAACCATCATTATATCCTTGGGTCCGAAATAGACTTTCCTAGTTTTCGGGGACAACTGTCTAGATTCCATTTCAGCATACATTTATTAAATGCCCAGGTGGACACACCTGGCACCATCTTGGCAGATAGCTGGCATTTAACCCCTGATTATTTAACCAGTCCCTCACCACTTACCGTTGCTGGGTAATTGTATGCAGGCAAAACCCTCTGGGTGTGCCTGGGATTTGTGAAGATTAAGTGTTATAACCAAAGTGAGTGGTGCTTTGCATATTCACAATGTGTCTATGCAAAAACTGAACTCTTCCATGTTTGGAAGATGGTTCATGACCTTAACTGTATTTAAATCCACTGTTCTGGCCGAGCTCATGGGAGCAAGTCTTTCCAGCAAACTGACCCATGGAACGGTGGTCAGATATGCTGGGAGGAGCTTCATTTGGGAACCCAGAGGTTCCTGGCTCCACGCCTAACATGTGTGATCTAGGAAAAGGCTGTGAGGTCTCGGGCTGGTTGCTTAACCCCCGTTTTCCTCATCTTTAACACGGAAGAGGTGGGCACAAGGCTGTAAGGTCCCTTTAGGTTTTGACTTTCCACAGTGAGAACAATGGGCCAGGAGGGAGTGAGGCATGCAAAGCAAAACACAGAAATAGGACTTTCTGTGTGTGAGTCTTGGTAAAATGAAAGAAAGAAAGTGCATGCGATGTTACATATGTTTCCTTCTGAGATGCCTGAGAGGGTATACTTTGCTTGTTCTTGACCAGTGGCTTCTGCTGAAAGAAAATAAGTGGTGGGCGATCTGTACATGTAATAACAAGAGCAATCAGGACTCAGGGCTAAGTTAAAGAAAACAAAGGAAATGCTCATAGTGAAGATGAATTTTAGTTTTATATTTGGATCTGAACTGAGATACCCACAAAGTACTGACAAGAAACTATATTTAGCCGCACCAGTGGAGACTATGAAGAAAGATAATCAGAGAGACCAGGGCCTGTTCAGGGGGTGGCGGAAAAGAGAGAGAGAGAAGAAGAAGAAGACAGAGGAGAAAGGAGGGAGAGGGGAAGGGAGAAGGAGAGGAGAGAGGGTTGTTTTGTAGCCATATACTCCCAAGGTTCAATCCTTTATTAAATGGGTAAGCTAAGGCAAGTGAGGGGCCTCTCTGTGCCTTCTTTTGCCATCTGATGTCTGTAAATGTTTGTTGCTTCTCCAGCCCCTTGCCTTTCCCTGAAACTGCAGCTCTAAGGGGGGAAAAGTGTTTCATGTTTCATCTATTCAGTACAGATAATTCTGCTGGAAGCCAAATGGGTAAAAGGGACCAGCAGGTATAGTAGAGAAATCACACACACTAAGTCTGGCCGGAAGGAACCATGCCATTCCAGAATGTCCCGCAGCTACGGATGAACATGCAGAGAAAGGAGACCAGAAAAGACAGTTGGGTGAAGGGTCTGGAAATGTATCTGTGTCAGTCCTGTGTGTTTCATGAAGTGGAGCTTCTGGCATTGGTTTGCACGGCAGAATTCTGGGGAAGCATGGAGACCAGACAGATGTGTGCACCACGCCTGGAGGAAGGAAGGGGAGGGAAGACGACGTTGCTCAGAGATGGGTCACTGGCCACCTCCCTGCACTTGTAAGGAATCCCTGCAGGAGTGGAGGCTGTTGGACCGCGAATAGAGCAGCAGCCCTCACAGTGGCAATAGTGAGGAAAGGCTTTGTGGGGGGCACTGAACACCCAAGGGGGGCACCACTGAAGCAGGCAGAAGAACATGAGGAAAGCACATAAGCAAACATGTGGCATTCCTTGTGAACTTTCCGAAATAACCAGGTGAAACTCCTAATAGGGTCAGAAATCCTATGTCAACAGCCTGGAGAAAACCTTAAGAAACATGGAAGATGACTGTACATGTGATCCAGTTTATACAAACCTTAGAAATGTATAGAAAATGTACAAATGTAGCCCATGCACCATAGAAAGACTGACTGAGGGAAATTTTGGCTTCTTACGTGCAAAAGATATATAGGATGACTGGATGAAGTTTTGCAGAAATCACGTCTCTTTCCAAACACTGGTGTTAAGGTTTTATTGAGCCTGAAGGCAAATTTGTGATGCCAATAGAACTCCTTAGAATCACATTTTCACAATTTGATCATTATGTGCTTACTTTTTTCTGGCCTGCCTCAAATTCAAGAGTTTCAACTTCACAGTCTATTATTATTTGGCAAGCAAAATTATAGACTATTCACAATTTATGTAATCTTGCTTAAAAATCAATATTGCATTTGTGTCAAGCTCTCAGATGTGATTTACACTGTGTACAGGATTTTCCCCAGGGAAGCTAGCCTAAAGGAAAGACGAGAGAAGAGGAGAGGGAGAATGAATTAGATGATGGACATGGCAGAGCACAGAAGGGGAGGAGGAGGCAGGACATGGAATACGGCCAGGTCAGAAGGGGACAGCAGGTGGTGCCCACAGAGCAAGAAAGAGGTCGTCAGGAGAAGTGAAGTTCTAGGAACCAAGGAGAGTGTGTTCAGGATCCTGGTTCCTCCAATAGGGGGCGGCAGAACAGGCGCAGAATCTTGGATGAAAGGGAGACAGAACTTGTGTCTGAGGGTGTGGGCAGTTTCTGATAGTTGGGAATCAAGCAGAGTGCAGTAGTTGGAAAAGATTCTAGAGAGGGAAATGGGACACTGTATTGCTGAGCCAGAAATGGAGCATCAGATCTTTACCTAAGGAATGACGGGGGATTTCAGAACAGCGTCTGCCTACCCTCTGCCTGGACTGTTGCTTTGTGATGGATGAGCTGCATACCCCCGGGGGCTCCACGTCAGACCCTCTTGGCCTCTCCTCTCATTTCAGTCACTGCTGCTGCAGCACTCACTCCACACGGGCTTTGACAAGCTTCCTGCAGGTGGGGCCTGACGGCACCTTCCTTCCCTCAGACCCATGTTGGGGACCTTTCACTTGCCTTGAGCATTTTTGACACCCCACATGCCACACCCAAAGGACAGCTCACAGATGCTCAACTCAGAAATGGAAGGAGGGCAGCTCACGTCCCATGGGAGAGGCCCTGGGCCCATATGGGACAGGAGCCCAGGGACCAATGCTTTTCCCTCGCTGACTCCAGACAGGTGGTTCAGAGACGCATTTCATATGTGATTAAGGGGCCCAAGAGTGAGGGCCAGTTAGACAATGCAGATGTGTCTTTGCATGGGCTTTTCTTCTTCTTTTTGCCTCTCCCTGTCCCTTGGTGCCTAGAATTACCACCCCATCCCCCAAAACAAACTAACAAAAAAACAACTGCTTTCACATAAGCCTTTATCTGTGGGCTACCCCTAGGAAAAGAATCCACTGAGAGTGAGAGGCATGTAGGACTCGCTCGCTAGGAGGGCTTCTTGCACAAGACATTTTGCCATAGGGAGCAGAGTGCAGGGGGCGGACCTCAACACAAATAGTGAGGATGCTTCCCCCATCCTTGGCTTTGGAGGAGTGGCTGATGCTTGGGGTCAGGTATCTCTCCGGTTAAGGATACCTCTGCTCTTCACAGGTGAATTTACATAAAATATGGACTTGAAGATTTAAAATTCTACACGCTTCTGCAGATCCGAGACTCTGAGTTTCCCCAGGGCTTGGTTTTCAGATATGATTTATAGACCTGCTGTGAATGTGGTCTCCTGCCCCTGCAGGCGGATCTGCTCGTCATCCCCAACACCCGCTCTCCTGAGCACTGGATGCCCCACCGGGTGCGGCCCGACTAATGCAAATGTAGGGGGGATTCTTCTTGGTCAGATAATTGGGACCTGGGTTGTAG